TTCTTTCTAGACCATTCTTCTGTTCCTTTGCTACAAAATTCATATGGTTTTGTCTCCTGCCAACTTTCTAACTGAATTGTCCCAGTAAGTTCACATGGCTTGTTTCTTGGCAACGTTGCAACTGAATCATCCTCAATCTTTAACAGTCCCCTGCAAGATGGAGAGTATATATCCATTACTCCCATCTTGGACACACAATAATAAAAACTTTGAGAATTTAAGGCCTTAGTTAAAATGTCTGCAATTTGTGCTGTACTTGGTACATGTCGGGTGATAATACTACCATCTTGTATCTTATCTCGAATAAGATGGCAATCAAGCTCTATGTGCTTGGTTCTTTTATGAAAAATCGAATTTGTAGCTATATAGATTGCAACTTTATTATCACAATGTAGAACCGCTGCTTGTGGATGATCAATCTGTAAGTCCTTAAATAAGAACCTAAGCCAAGTTAATTCACAGCAAAGGTTTGCCATTGCTCTATACTCTGCCTCTATAGAAGAACGAGACACAACATGATGCTTCTTTGACTTCCATGATATTAATGCATTCCTAATGAATACACAGTAACATGTAATGGACCTTCTGGTATCCAAACAGGCACCCCAGTCCGAATCACAATAGCCTTCTAATTGCAACTTTGAATTTGTAGGATAGAACAAACCTTGTCCAGGTGCCCTTTTGATGTATCGTAGCACTTTATGGGCTGCATGTAAATGTGGAATTCTGGGATTATTCATGAATTGACTTAACAACTGGATTGAATACGCAAGATCAGGCCTAGTAATTGTCAGATAAAGAAGTCTTCCAATTAACCTTCTGTACAATGATGGATCTTTGAGCAATTCTCCTTCATCTTTACTGAGCTTTGTATTTTGATCAAGGGGAATTCTAGCTGGGGCTGAACCAATGGTTTTTGAATCCCTCAAGATGTCTAAAGCATATTTTCTTTGACATATATGTATGCCATGTTTAGTCCTTGCCACCTTAATGCTTAGAAAAATATTTCAGATTACCAAGGTCCTTAATTTTGAATTTGTCATTGAGACAGACCTTGAGATTATTGATGGTATCAATACAATCTCCAGACACAATTATGTCATCCACATAAACCAAAATGGTTGTGAAGGATTTGCTAGTGGGCCTAGTAAACAAACTGTAGTCTGCCTTTGATTGGATGAAACCTTGTTCGATGATGAAATTTGAA